AGTTGTATGCCAATTTTTTAGGGCGTTTGAGGGAGACGTGAGGAGAAAACGTCCAGAGAAGTGGCGCACAAACAATTGGGTACTCCACCATGACAAAGCACGACTGCATACAGCTTACACTGTGCAGGAATTTTTGGCTAAAAACAAGATGGCAGTTGTTCCCCACCAACTGTACTCGTCAGACTTAGCTCCATGCAACTTCTTTCTCTTCCCCAAGATGAAAATCAAGTTGAAGGGGCAAAGAGTTGATACACTTGAGGAAATTTAAGTGGAAACACAGATGGTACTAAACACCCTAACAAAGAAAGACTTCCAGGATGCATTTGAAAAGTGGCAGAAACGCTGGGATCGGTGTATGCGCTCCCAAGGGGACTACTTTGAAGGTGATGGTGCAGAATAAGATCTAGGTAAGATGTAGTAGTTTTTATTAGTATATTTCGGGAACTTTTGGATTGCACCACATATATGGTATGTTTGTAACGTGTACACAATTTGTGTATGTAGTTAAGTGTTATAGTACTGATGACTTATATATAATAAAACTTGAATTGTTCTATATCTGGAGGCTGTATCGCCAAATATGGATTTCTGGAACAAATAAAGATATGATATAATTCAATACGTGACCCTTAAATTATTGGTAAGAATTAAATATAATATAATTCAATATATCACCCTTAAATTATTGATAAGCACTAGAAATCAAATGCTGAATGTGTTCGTCTGTACATTTGGTTTTTTGAAGGTCCTGCCTGTGTCTTCCATTCAAAGTAGCTGACATCATATAACCTATAAGCAAAGATGGAGTAGATGGAGTTTCAAGAATTTATACACTGAATTGGGTGGGACTGAAATTTAAATAAGCTCTCCTTCTTTGACATTTGAGCTTAAGAGAGTCTAAAAATGCAATGGGATTTGATCATCAAACATGGAAAATCCAAATGCTACAATGAAAATTACTGTACTACTACCACGGTCAATAAACCAGAAGTTTAATTGAGCAGAATAGTTTGGAAGTCTTCATGGGTGATTAGATGTGCCAATGTGGTGTTTGTGTCTTATATTTCAGAGACTGTATCCATCAACATTATCAACAATTGATATAATGGGTACCATCTTTGCAGGCTGTGTACATAAGAGGCTGTCATCTGCTGCAAAGCAGATAATTTTTGAATGCATAAGTTGGTCATCAGATGTAAGTGACACCATCCACTGTGGGCCAGGACAACAGACAGACAGCTTACCATACAAATATTAGCCCCATAAAAAATCTCACAACCCATGATAGCAGTGTCTCTGGAGTGCCCAACATGGCCTCTATAGTAACATGGCTAATCACCAGTGAAGACCTACTGGATACTGTTGCCATAAAAACTTTAAGCTATAAAGCACTTCTGTGTGTTGTCCATATCATTAAACTCTAACATGCCCATGATATTCAATACTTTCATCAAAGATGATTCATTATGTGGACAAAGAAATATACTCTTAAATATATGGCTTATTTCTGGCCTCCTGGACTTTCAACTGCACATCTCTTGCATATTACAGTGAAGAGAATGTTTGCAGCATTCTGTTCACACTTTCAAATCAAATCTGACTGATACAAGAAATAAATAAAATCTGGAATATCTGAGTTTTGGTGACATGTTAATAGAAGTAATATAATGCAATAAATACCCAAACATAATACAGAGGCTGCAGAGACATAGAATTCCAGAGCCAAAAAGTGACTGACATCAGTACAAGAACCATCAAAGTAATTCATACAACCTGTGACAAAATGGCCACTAATTTCCACCTTCCTCTGGGATGCATTAACACGATGCATGGAGAAAAATAAAGAAATACACTACATGGATAAAGAATTACATATGTGTGTCTCTGGGCTCTTAATCCACAAAGCGCTTTTTTGTCTCTTGTTCTTCTTCAGCCTGTGACAAAATATGCACTATGTTCAACCTCCCTCTGGGATGCATTACCAACAAGAGACATGGAGAAAAATAAAGAAGTCCACCACACGGTTAAAGAATTATATATTTGTGTCTCTGGGCTCTTAATTCATAAAGCGCTTTTCTTGTTCTTGTATTTTCTCAAGATGGATGTTCCCATAATGTCTTTTACCGCTCAACCACATTTTGGGATACAGGCTATATGTAACATACACAAACAGTAGCAGCAATTTCATAGACAAAAACAATAAAAAGACAAGCTGCAGCCCCAAATTATGTCATCAAATCTTGGCAACAGCCTGGAAATAATCTATCTTTCAGTGTTTATGTGGCTCAGATTACAGAATAAGAATTTCTTTGCCCACTTGAAGTGAAATATAACATGTGTTATATTTGGAGAGCTGTGAAGTAAATAAGAAATCTGTGAGGTGCAGAACCCACATGACCTGCTGGGACCACAGTCTCCTGGATTTTTAATCTTAGGCAAGCAAACTTTCATACATACAACAAGACGTCCCTATTTAACAGCAGCCCCCTCCCCAAAGGGGCAAAAACAAGTCCAACAATAACACTCTCGGAATTCTATTTTGTGAAACAGAAAGCTTTTTAAACAATGCAATTATAATTAAATGCTGCATAATATTCAGTGAATGAACTAAGCTTCCAAGAAAAATGATTTGAAATATGCACACTAGATCAGAGTTTCTCAACCACCAGGCCGCAGCCCGGCACCAAGCCTTGGCATCAACTGTACCGGGCCCTCATCAAATTAAAAAATAATTTACCAGACCATACAACAGTTGAGAACCACAGCACTTGATAACCTGTCATCAAGATTCAAAGTGTGCAAAAAACAAAATAAATAAATAAAAAGGTGTAGACCAAGAAGACCCAAAATAAGAAAATTGTTACATACAGAATCTAAACATAAGGTCTCCAGTTCCACATGTTAATGGAGACCATGGATCACAAAATAGTCATATACTTGACTATTACAAATATTACTTAAAACTAAATACAGTACAGTCCAAACTTCATGAATAACTGTAGTCTCAAACCATAAACTTCATCCATTAGGTTGGATCTGAGGTTCTCATAGCAGTGGCTATCAAGAGTTTTATCTTCTGGGATATTGCCATGTAGTCCAGTTTGCTCTGCTTGCTGCCTGCTTCATGCTGACTCTTGTTTAGCTCACTCTTCATCCCTGCAGATGGAGGCAACATGTTCCTCTGAAATGTGCTGATTTTCACTAGACTACACAGCATTATACACCCCTGAAGACAGAACTCACCACCCAGTTGACTTCATGAAAATTATCTGCCGTGAAAGACAAAGGCCAAATAATGTGCATCCAGCAACAATTAATGCTTGTGAGTTTTGTCCAGGGGTACCCAGTTCGAATCTTGGCCCAAAAAGCTGAATTGAGTAAATGTTTCCTGTCATGTCCCTCAGCCTCTACACCAGAAAAATGCTGGGATACGACCCTGGAACAAGCAATGACCATTTTCTTTCCATCCCTCCATACCTCATTATATGTAACAAATATCTCATTCTACTCAGTGCTATATAACTGCTACAATTAATATATTTTCATTAATTATCAGGGAACTTTCATAAATGCAAGTGATAATGCATTAAAAACACACATTCTCATTAATATTAATGACTGAATAAATTTGCGGTGTATTGAGATGAAACAAACAAATATAAGACTAATCTGAAAAATAAATTTCTTGACACTAAATATTATAAAGAAAATTTTAAAAGGACCGGTGCTTGCATGGATAAGTATTCCTTTTTGGCAAACATATTTATTTTTTGCTACAGCCATTCTTGTATTAGAGAATTCAGGAACTGTGGAATACTTCAATGAATGTCACACAACATACCTTCATAGCAAACACATTCATTCCACAGAAAATTTAGGGCCTAGAATTTAAATTTGTGTTGTATTTAAACTCAGGAAACAGATAAAGCTTATGGTTTGAAGTTTCACTAACAGCAACTGTAAACAATAACCATTTATTACAAATTTCATTAAATATAACTTAATGTAAATTTAACTGACCTTCCATACAATGCAACAAATATTTATACAAAAAGAGTAACAGTTCTATTCACAATATATGGTATTCGAAGGTCTCATAGCAGTGACTACGAAGAGTACTATCCTCCGGCATGTTGCGTTCTGCTATTTTTTAAGGATATTTTGTTTCCAGAAGATAGTAGTCTTCAAATCATAATATTGTCACTGTTTTTATTCATTTGCTCTCATTCCATTATAAGTAAACTGTCATTAGAATTATTCAGGATAAATGTAGCTCAAGGGATGATAATGAAACATTTCTGCATGATATTAAGTGTAAAGTGCATAGGCCACAACACAGAATGCTATGAACTGAACAAGATGCAAAATAAATCTTCACTTGTAAAATGCATTCTTTGCAAAAACTTAATTCTGAAAATAAATAACAAAGAATATTTTTAATATTACAAAATTCTGTATATGTGTGAAAATTGTTCCTCTTTTTCCTTAGCTGCCATCAGGGTATTACTACTAACCTAACAACACTTCATTATACATGACTATTATATTATGTATCTTGTTTGTTGAATATCTGAAATATGAAGACCTTGAGCAGCTGCACTGTCATTCATTATTCTTTGCTGGTAAAGATGGCATCAAGGTTCAGACCCTGGATTGGTGGTCCAATATTAATTGCTCCTTGAACTGTAAAGTTCATATTTCAAACATAGTAGTGAGTGCAGGAATTTTTCAAATGTTTAACAACAATATATAATATTTAACAGCAAAAGACTTTTCATCCTTCTATCATTTAATACAGCTCAGCTCGACATGGGGAACTCGCTGCTTCTTCCATGCTTCCAAGTAGTGTTGTCTTCTCTTCTGTCCTTGGTGACTTTCCAGTCCGTAACTGTGGCTCAAAACATGGCTGAAAAGTAAAATATAATGTGAATTATGGTAAAATTTCACAAATAGTTACCCAGCACCACATCCCTCTTCCAATCTGCAATTCATTTGCAAGATGCCTACAGTTAATGTAAGGAAACACACACACTACAGCAGCAAAACACTAGACAAATTCACTGACATTAAAAAAGCCTAACCATACTTAAAACTTTTCTCCACTTAGTGTTATGTCTCCGAGATCAAATACTAATACCACAAATGAGAAAGGGTGGTAACAAGCCACTAAAGGATTAAAAATATTGTAACTTGGTCATTCTAAAACAATTTCTCAAAACTTCCAAACAGCCTTATCTCTTTCAATATATTATTACTTATTGTCACACGTATGAGTGACTACAGACAGGTTTCATACTGATTATCCGATTTACTGGACTCAGTTACAGCAAATGACTAAACTTTACAGTTCACTACTACACACACTTGTGTCCAAAATTATATCTTCCCTAGCCATTGCTCGGTAGCGGCTTCCAACAGTAATGCTCCCCTTGCTCTGGGTTCCCAATAGGTCCCTCGCCTCAGCCACTAGTTTCTCACAGCAACAACTCACAAGGAGTGAACTGCAGCAGTCCTCTAACTCACTCACTGACTGGTTGAAGACCCAACTATTTTTTATTTTTGATCTCGAGCTCTACAGTCTTCCAGAAGATCCTGCCAGATGTCCCCTCCTTCTTCAGACGTGGTCATCTTCCACCTAGGTTCTTTATTTCATTGTTGCACTCTGGTTCCTTCCACTGTCTCTTCTCAACTGCCAGTCCTTATACCCTACAGGACCAGCACAGCAAGTCAACCATCTGCAGGTGGCAGCCAACTGCTTCCATCACCCGCCATCGCCATGGGTCCTCTTCTTCAGCTGTCAGTGGCACCCTACGGCTAGATGACAGAACCCATATTGCTCCTCCACTGCTCCAACAGTTTCCAGCATGGTCTCTTCCTTAAGGACTTCCTGATGCTCCAACTCAAGACTCTATTTCTTCTGAATTTGCCTCCAAATCTGTCACCTCTGTCTTTTCCAGACAGGCCTCCATCATGGCCTCTATCTTTTCTTGACCAGTTTTCATTATCAGCATCAATTTCTTGTGATGAAAGTCCATCTTGGCTTCCAGGCTTTCCTAATTGGCATCCTTCATGGCCAGCAGATGTTACATTACTTACTGCAGTCTCCAATCCAACAAACTGATCAATCCAATGACACCAGTTGTCATGTGTATGAGTGATTATTGGTGGGTTTTGGACTATTAATTGAATTTATTAGACTCGTTGATACAGCACCTGACTACACTTTACAATTCACTATTACACACACAGACACTAGTGTCCACAGTCACATCTTCACTAGCCGTTGCTCTGTAGTGGCCGCCAATGGCAGACATTACCCTTCCTTAGGGTTCCTGCCCAGGCCCCAGCCTCAACTACCAGCTTCTCACAGCAATAGATATCAATAACTGAACTGCAGCAGTCCTCTAACTAACTCAGTAACTGCGCAACTCAGCTCAACTGACTCTCAATAACTAACTGTCCTGCTTATAACATCTCAGCATGTACTGCACACAAAACACTGTTCCTCTGTTAATGTACCATTGTTGCATTTGTGTCTGTTGGGGTTCCCACGTGATTAATACTCAGCCATTGCCTAGCAGTGGCCATTGTATAGTTATTTCACAGTCATTACCTAGCAATGGGTCTATATGCCAGAATATTATCTGGCGATTTCGTTAAAACAATTCATTGATGCCTCTTTAAGACATGCTACTGCACAAGGATGTATTATCATCACATGGTTATATATCCTCAGTCACAGTGCCTTTCTCCACATGCAGTTTTCCGAGTGCAATGACTATCGGAACACTGCACTGATATCAAGAGCACTATCTTCTGGGGTGTAATAATGTGGAGTCCAGTAGTTCACAGACATTTTCAGGGCTGAAGCCAAGGAAGCAGTCTGCATGAAGCAGGTGGCAATTCTCACCAGCTCAGCTTACTCTGACCCAAAGATGGAGGCAATATTAATTAACAAATATCTCTGATATTCCATCTTGCATGCAACACTCTTTTAAAAATGTGTTTAAAAGTTACTATATACACACAATGAGTCATTAAAATCTACTTAAAATCACACTGTACACTACATGTTTCAACTTTCACTGGTCATCATCAGGTGTTTTAGAACTGTTTGTGGAGACTGCTGTGCTTGTGTTTTGCGCTTCCAATGCTCGATGTGTAGTCCCACCACATATTTGTGTTTTTCACCATGTGTTCTGACCACGAGTGGTCTGAACACATGACGCAGCATGCAGTGACACACAGCATGACGAGAAACACAAATATGTGATGGGGCTAAACATCAGAAGCGCAAAATGCAAGCACAACAGTCTCCACAAACAATTTTAAATAGGTTTAAAAGACCTTTTAAAGTAACTTTTAAATACATTCTTAAAGGAGTGCTGCATGTAAGACAGAATATCAGTGATATATGTTAATTAACAAACAATGTGCAATATAACCTTATGGAGGCAGTATGTTACTTCAAAATGTCAATGCATTTCTACCACCAGACTGCACAGTGTTACATCCAAAGTCACTGCTGTGAGAACCACAAAAGTAGGTAGCAGTCACATGATGTGTTTTCTGTGAGGCTTGTCTGTGCTGGGTCTACATAAGTGAGCAGAATTCTGAAGCTAAGCAGTAAGCTGGAGGAGTGAGTAGTAAGCGGCAGAAGCACGCAAGCAAGCAGTAAGCTTGAGGAGTATAGAAGAATACAAGAAGTCAGCCTGTGAAGATTTAACATGTGATTCAAAGATTTCATGTGTGCTGTACTACAGTGATATTGGGAGTGTGTGATTTAGTGAGGCTTTTATAGTTCTTGTGTTATAAGTCCATGAAGACTGGTGGAGATGGATTGAAGGGAAGACTGGGGAGTGCTTTGTAGTGTAGTTACGACCTGTAAGTGGCCAATAAATCCAATTACCAATCCAGATCCAATCTTTAGTCAATGAAACATGTGACAAATTTAGAACGCTAAATGTTTTCTGTGAAAATGGACTTCCAGACAATACATAATTATTAGTCACCTAGCTGCAGAATGTTAAGACAGCATAAGGTGTCACATATAGCTTATATTTAGCTTTTCGTGTGGCACAACCAAGAAAGTTATAAAACCTAAAATTTCTTAGAAATCTTCGTTGTAATTTCTCTAGTCATATAATTTTTTAGGTCTTCATGGTAGCAAGTGTCTAGATTGTCTTCTTATCGGTAATGACACTGTGTAGTCTTGGTGAATACTGACATTTTGCAGGCAGCACATTCATCTTAAACACATGCATCCATCTATAAAACAACATGGTGTTATAGCTCACAAGACCACAAAGTGAATTCTGCAATTATGTTACTAGTCACCGTTCAGTCAACGTCCAACATTTCAATTTCAAATTTATTATGTTTAAAATTAAGAAATGTTTTACAAAGTCTATTGTGAATCTCTCACCACTTTACTCCCAGTGCTTTATGGAACATGACAGTTCATTACAGACCCAAGAAAGTTCAGTCAATATAGTGACAGGCTGGCTGGGGTTCAGTTCCCAAGAGGGGCAAGAGACTTTTCCTTACTCCACAATACCCAGAGCAGCTCTGAGGTCCTGTCCCTCCTAATGGGTACCAGGGAATCTTATCCAAGGAGGTAAAGTGGTCAGGGTGCGAAGCCGACCCCTCACCTTCATCTAGTGCCGAGGTCAGAAATGGTGGCTCTATACCCCCATATAACTTCAAGGTGCGGTTCTTAATTAATTATGCTCAGGGAAACTCTGCCTCTGCCTCTGATAAGTCATTACTGTGTTCACAAGAATTTTGAACTATGGGTATACATAGAAAAGAACAAGACTGCTAACTGACAGAGAGGCCCCATTCTGAACATAAACAACCAAGTGACTTTCTATTGCAAATGAAATGTGTGCAGCTAGATTTACAGGTGTTTCAACTTCTATTGTTATTAGGGCTGTGAAATTCGGATCAAAACATCAATACAAGAACCACAGGATGTTAGGTAATACAGTAAAACCTGCTTTAAACGGACCCTTTATTGAACGGAATTTACTTAAATGGAAATATTTTTAGGTCCCATGACTTAGGGGCTGAAAAAGAAGTTAAACATTATAGATTAAACAAAAACTGTCTAATGCGGAAATGGAAATCAAAATAAGCCTTTATAAGGAAAATTTCCAGTCTTGCAGAATGCATCATTTAGAACAATATCCTCTATATTCTACAGAATTTTGTTTTCTCTAACTCTTTCAATTCAGCTTTTAACGGTACTGCACTACCTGCACTGAAATTCAACTGAACTGTTTGGCCTTTTCCAGAAATTTTAGTCAGTAAGGGCTCTAGGTTTTGCCATAATGGCTACAAAGACAAGAGTTTTGCTTGATCTTAACACAAGAGTAAAAGTGATCCATGCGAGTGAGCGAGATATATTGTCTGTTAAGCAGATCATGAAGATGTTTAAAGTTGGTAAAACTCAAGTGTATGAGATTCTAAAGAAGAAAACGGAAATTTGAAAGCAGTGGGAAAATTGTGCTAGTGGAAAAATAAAAAGATAACTTAAGAAAACTGCAAATGAAGATGTTAATAAAATATTGTGGGAGTGTTTTGTCGGTGTCTTGGCGAAAAATCACTTCTTATCAGGTCCTATGGAACAGGAATATGCTACAAAAGTTGCTAAAAAATTGAGAAAGACTGAATTCAAAGCATGTAACGAATGGTTGGAGAGTTTTCACAAAAGACATCAGATAGTTTTTAATGAACTTTGTGGTGAATCAAGTGATGTAAATAGTGAGACCATTGAGGAATGGGGAGCTAAATTGACATCCATAATTGAGGGATATGAACTTGAAAATATAGCAAACAGTGAAGTTACTACTAGTGTAAAAAATGAGAATGACAAGCAGGACTTACAAAATTGCATGAATGGAT